GAGTTAGCTCAAAATGTTTGAGGACCATAGGATTTTTACAAGGAGCTGTGGCAGAAGCAGAGTTGGAACCCAGGTCTCTAAATTGCCACTCTAATCTGCCCTCCGAGGGCAGATGTACAAATGTACAAAGTAGCATTACAGCAACACTGCAGAGGATTACGCATGGCCTCCAAAGCCAAACTGGCTGGGTTCAATTCTTGTCTGGCTCTGCAGGTAGCAGTGGGCCTGAGGGAAGTTACTGACATTCTCTAAGTCTCAGTCGCAGTGACCAGGTGGCATCACATACAGTCGTGGGGATCAAACTGGTAAAATACTTAACATGGTTTGTGGCATGTGGTAATACCTCAAACACTGGTAGTTTTCTAATTGCTAACAGGGTCACAGTCTCCCACAGCACAGATTACCTAACATGCATTTCCTGTTATCGTCTCACCCACTAGGGGGAGCTCAAGACACACTGATCAACTCAGAAGTGGTAACATCAGTGAAAAACCTGAATAAGATTTCACTGAATAACTGGCCAAACTGGTTACCTTATTTAATGCAATGAAGCTTTGGTTTAGAGACGCCAAAAACTCTTGACCATCCCTAACAATTGCACTTGATTTGATGGTGTCCAAACAAACCAGCAAACACTGAACAGCTCAGCTCCTTGTTATCAACACCTCACATTCAGTTAGACACGGTGGAATTCCCCTTGCTCTTGTGACCATCGAGGCAATGGGTCAGCTGACCACAGTGGTCATTGACTCTCCTAAACTGTAGCTTAGGTGTCCTGGGAACCTAGCTCCATACAAGGTGTATCATAAGCCATCTGATGTATGTGGGAGTACATGGATTCTTTCATCTCCTTCATCAGAAAAGATTATGTGTGTAGAAATAAAACATTTTTCCCACAGCACAGCCTGAGACCATCTTAATTTAATTACATAACAATCCTATTAGAATAGTCAGTGGAGGACTTCTGGCCAAGACGGAGGCGTAGGTAGATACACTTTGCCTCCTTGCACAACCCAAAGAAGGACAACGACAGAAACAACGACAAATTTAAAAATAAAAACTGACAGAAAAATCAAACTGTATGGAGCCCAACAACCAAGGAGTTAAAGAAGAAACATTCATCCAGACTAGTAGGAGGGTGGGGATGGGCAGCCGGGGTGAGGAAGGCTCATGGCAAAGTGGTAGCTGGAGAACCAGGATGGGTGGCAGCTGGTGGAGGGGGCAGCCCCACATTTGCATGTGGATGAACCAGGAGGAACAACTGGGGAGCGAGACACACCATACAACCCAGAGCTCCAACGAGGAGAAATAAAGCCTCAAAGCCTCTGATTGAAAACACCTGTGGGGGTTGGGGCAGCCGCGGGAGAATCTCCCAGCCTCACAGGAGAGTTCATTGGAGAGACCCACAGGGTCCTAGAAGGTACACAAACCCACCTACCTGGGAAGCAGCACCCAAGGGGCCCAATTTGCTTGTGGGTAGTGAGGGAAGTGACTGAAAACTGGCAGAGAGCAGAGCAAGCAGCACTGTTGCCTCTGGGACCCCCCCCACTTCACAGACAGTGGCACAACACAGTGATGTGGTTGCCCCACCCTGGCGAACACCTAAGGCTCCGCCCCTTCCTACTAACAGGTTCACCGAGACAAAAAAAAAAAAAATGGCCCAGATGAAAGAACAGATCAAAGCTCGGAAAAAGTACAACTAAGTGATGAAGAGATAGCCAACCTATCAGATGCACAGTTCAAAGCACTGGTAATCAGGACACCCACAGAATTGGTTGAGTATGGTCACAAAATAGAGGAAAAAGTGAAGGCTTTGAAAAGTGAGGTAAAGGAAAATGCACAGGGAACCAAGAATGATGGAAAGGAAACCGGGACTCAAATAAATGGTTTGGACCAGAAGGAAGAAAGAAACATTTAACCAGATCAGAATGAAGAAACAAGAATTAAAAAAAAAATGAGGAGAGGCTTAGGAACTGCATGTACAACTTTAAATGTTTCAACATCCGAATCATAGGGGCACAAGGAGAAGAGGAAGAACAAGAAATTGAAGACTTATTTGAAAAAATAATGAAGGAGAACTTCCCCAGTCTGGTAAAGAAAATAGACTTCCAGGAAGTCCAGGAAGCTCAGAGAGGCCCAAAGAAGTTGGACCTAAGGAAGCACACACTGAGGCATATCAGAATTACATTACCTAAGATTCAAGATAAGGTGAGAATATTCAAAGCAGCAAGGGAAAAGCAGAGAGTTACCTACAAAGGAATTCCCATAAGACTATCAGCTGATTTCTTAAAAAGAAACCTTGCAAGCAAGAAGTGGCTAGAAAGAAGTATTCCAAGTCATGAAAGTCAAGGATCTACATCCAAGATGACGCTATCCAGCAAAGCTATCATTTAGCATGGAAGGGCAGATAAAGTGCTTTCCAGATAAAGTCGAGTTAAAGGAGTTCATCATCATCAAACCCTTATTATACGAAATGTTAAAGGGACTTATCTAAGAAAAAGATAAAAAAATAAATAGTAAAATGACAACAAACTCACAACTATCAACAACTAAACCTAAAAATAAAGAAAAGAAAGCAAACAACTAGAAAAGGAACAGAATCACAGAAATGGAGATCACATGGAGGGCTATCAGTGGGGAGGCGGGGAAATGGGGAGAAGGCACAGGGCATAAGAAGCATAAATGGTAGGTACAAAATAGATAGGGGGAGAATAGTTTAGGAAATGTAAAAGCCAAAGAACTTATATGTACAACCCATGAACATGAACTAAGGAGGGGAATGCTGGTAGGAGGGGGCATGCAGAGTGGAGGCAAATAAATGGGGCAAATGGGACAACTATGCTGTAATAGCATAATCAATAAAATATATTTAAAAGGAAAAAAAAGAATTGTCGGCTGAACTCTGCCATTGGTCAAGTTCATTGCTTTATCTCCAGCATGTCTTATTCAGACCAATGATCTTCACTTTCCAGCTCTAGAACAAAGTAGGCACTCAAAACACTGAAGTATTGAAGGAATTAATTCCTTGATTCATTCAACTGATATTTATTGAGTATCTACTATGCTCCAGGCACTTTCGGCATTGGGGCAACAAGAGCAAAAAGAAATTTTTTAAACCCTGACCTCATCAAGTTCACACGCTAATGGGGAGAGATTCTCCATAAACACAATAAATAAATAAAATGCATATGAGAGCTCTAAACACAAAGAGAAGAGGAAAACAGGGCGGAGTCACGCAGAGATCCGGGCGGTGAGGCGTGTGTGAAGGCGCGGTGAGGAGGCCCACTGGAGCCTGCTTGCACGAGGAACCAAGGACCGTCCCTGGGAAGAGTTCAGCAAGAGGAAATTCAGGGTGCCCATGACCCAGGGATTAGGGTGCGGGTCTGGAGACAAAGGGCGTCTGTGCTCGCAGCCCACCTGTGTGCTCAAGCCTGGGCCCCGGGGAGGAAAGCCCCCCTGGGGCAGTTCAGCCGGCCGCTCCATGGACCTTGAATAAGACTGCGGGCCGGCCTGAGGACAACGGGGTAGGGTGTAGCCGCCGACAGGCGGGGAGGGGTTTCTCATCCCTGCTTCCACTTCCGGCACTGAGATGCCCCCCACACCAAATCGGTGGGCCCTTTGGTCAGGAACAGCAAACTCCAGGGGCCCAGGGAGCCTTGGCCCAAGGCAGTTCTGGGTGCAGCACCGACGGAGGGTGACACTTGCATGGACCTGGTGGCAAAGTCACAGGCTTTACCACCGCTCTGTGACACCAGAGAGATGGCAGCAGATGCCACACCAAGCCGACCCCGAGTGGGGGGAGAGTGGGGAAGCCCAGACAGGATGTGTGGAACGAGGGCAGTGAGGCACGGGATTCTGAAGGCCCCGCAAACACCAGCGAGATCCAACAGGGAGACTGTCAGTTCCATGCAGTCTGGGGGACGTCGACTACACAAAGTCATGCAAAGGTTTTTATTAACAGAAAGCCGTATTTCAAAAAGAAATCTGTAGATTGCCTATAGAATTTGGAAACCCTGCCAAATCCCAGTCTGGTAAATGTCAGCCAACAGCCTTATGACGTCTCAACAAAGGATCTTTTCAACATTGATGGTCAAAGGTGCTTGGGGACCGGGCTGGGGAATTCTTGGCATCAATGTATCAGAGCTGCCGAGGGTGACTGTGACTCATGTCCACATTACTGAACAATTCCATCACCCAATTAAACATCCTGATGGCGCCTTCCGCTGTCACGCCTAAACTGTCAAAGATGCTATCGACGTGTAACCACAATAAACCATGACCAGGCATGGTATCCCCATTGCCAAACTGCTCCAGGCCCACCCAAGTGATTATCGACATGGAAAATGCTCTTTGATGATTTATTTCATGAAGTTTATAATGCATCTTTCCCATAACAATGGCCATTTGGAAGCCCCAGGGATCTTTCTAGAGTACAAATCTGATCAAGTCACCTTCCTCGGAAAAGAGCCCTCACGCCCTGAAATGGCGTACAGGGCTCAACCCTGAAAGGAACCACCCCACGCCCATCCCTCCATCCCCGTGGCTTCTCCTGGCTGACGACAGACTTCGCACAGCAGCCATTGATTGTCATGGCCGTCCCAAAGTCTGCCTTCTCTGCTGACGTACACGCTCATGAAGACAAAGGCTGAGACCCTTGGTTATTCACTGTATGGACCTATGGGTTAACATGGTGTTGGAGCTTAGTACGTGCTCAAGAGATATGTCTGCAAGCAATGAACCAGAGCATCAGTGAATACCGAAATGGCCAGAATCTTTTAAAGTAAGTCACCCTGGGTGGCAAATCTTGTGTTTTGTTGGCTGGAGGCATATGTGTCTTTTCACGTCTGGTTATGCTGAGCCAGATGCCTCACGGTACTCTGCTCTCTCTGCTGACTCCAAAGAAACACGTGCCACCCGTGGAAAGAGACCAAGGGGGAGTCTATTATTCAATGTAAGGCTTGGCAGACATTTGGCAAAAAACTCCATTAAAATGGCTTCAAAGAACTTAAGGCATTTCATGCATTTATTAGAGTCAGTACAGAATTTTGAACTGAAATCCATAATGGCACATTGACCCGTGCAAGGAAAACCATACCATTTAAACATCCAACCAAAGTGGGCGCGCTTCAGCTGGGTTTCCAGAGGCGGAGCAGTCCCTTACGCAGGAGCTCACGGATAGATGCACACAAGTCAAGGGAATGTAATTCTCTGAACTGTTCCTCGGGGACTTGATCATGTCACCCAGACAGCGCTCAGAAGAGGCCCCAAAGATAAGAGAGCCAGAAAAGCTTTTTTTTTGGTAAATGTACCTTCTTCCCCGTTTACCATAATCTTAGGGTTCACCAACTCACGGAATAAGTTGGGAGAGATCCTAGACCCATTCTGCGGACAAGCAACCTGAGGCGCCGAGGTGTGAGGGGTGGGAGCTGCTCTGAGTCACAGGTTAGTCCCCGCACCTGCTCTGGGTGACTCGGAGCCTCGCTCTCCCCCACGCGCTCAGGGGGAGGCCAGCTTCCCGCAGAAGAGGACGGCGTTGGTGTCGCTGTGCCTGATGAAGAACAGGAAAGGGCGGTTCGCCAGGAACTGAGCTCGGATGGGGAGTCTTTTCACGGTGAGGTTGTCCCCGGTGGCCGCCGCGGCCTCGGTGCCCTCTTCGTTGACGTCCACGTAGGACTTGTGGATGACCTTGGATAGATACAGGCCGTCAGCTCGTGAGATCCCAGACAGATCAGCTTTGATCTGGTTGAAGACATCGGTCATCCCTAGGGATTTCAGCAGCGAATTCAGCTCATACTTGATCTCCAGCTTGAATCGGGGCAAGTGCACCTCAACGTCTCTCTGCATCATGTTGGAAGGGCTGGTCCACTTGTCAAATGTCCTCACGTTCAGCTGCTTCTCTACCTAAAAGACAAAACACAGGTGGGCCCACACAAGCCAAGCACAGGCCTCTGTGCTGATTGCTGTTCCTTGTACAATCCTCAGTGCGAACAGTTCAGTTCCACCGACGTCCTTTCTGCCTTTAAACTGCGCTCAGGCTTTATCCGAAAAATAATAACCTTGCATTCTTGCATTCCTCTGCATCTTCCCTTTTCTACTGTCTACTGCTCATCAATATTTCACAATTAAATGTGTCCAATGCACATCCCTCCCACCGTCTTTGCCTTAATTCACTCTGTCAGTGTGTAGGCTTGACCTAACCTCTCTCCAATGTCTCTGCAATTGTATTCTCGTTTCCTGAATGAACTCAAAGCTCTTCTCCTTGGTTCTCGCATCTGACACAGTTAACAGCAACCTCTATCACACACTCATTGGTCATTTGGTTTCTGTGGCACCAGGAACCCCTGTTCCACTGGCTTTAATCTCCTCCTGTCCCTCCTCTTGAAGCTGACCTAGGGGTGCCTCCACCTAGCCAGTCAGCTCCCACACCCCTGCCGAGTTCCCACAGTGGCCTCACAGCTCTGAGTTCTCCTTCTCCACCCAGTTCTAGAAGTTTCTGTAAACCCTTTACACCCCTGTCCTTGGGCATCTGAAACCCTCCGCAGCCCTCCCCTCAGCTCCAACCTGGTGAGTCCAACCGTTGTTCTTCTCCTACAAGAGTTGAAGAGGTTTTTGTCCCCTTCCCACCGCCCTGGCAATAGCAGATCAGTGTTTCTCTTCCCGTCTTTTCCTCCTGTCTTTCTGTGCCCTGACTCAAGTCACCATGACTTCAGGACACAAAGCCATCTCACTGCCTCTCATCCTTCTAGGGTCTCTGCACCTGCCCTTTGCTCTGGGGAGGACGTCATCGGTGTGTGTGGCCCACTTCCTCTAGAGCCCCGAAGCCCGGCTGGTCTCCTAGCAAATGTTGGGCGAGCAGAGCCCTGGGAGGTCCCTCTGCACCAGCCGCTTGCCTGGCCCGTGCTGCTGGGTAGGTTTGACCGCAGCCAGGGAGAGGGGTTAGACTCCCGCTGCTGCTGCGACCTCTCCTCTGTGCCTGTGGTTCTCACTTCCCCACAAAACCAGGCCGCTGAAAACGGAGGTCAGCCCACAAAAGCGTGTTGCTTTTGGATCTGAAGCTGAAAGGAAGACGGCTTCATCAGTTGTCCAGGGCCTGGGAGCATCATGATTTCATTACAAAGATGTCTCCCAAAAGCCCAAGGACCAATACGTGAGTATGTTTGTACACCATGTTTGTGCCTTTTTAATATAAAAATAGGTTGTTTTCCCTAAATACATTACCCTGAAGGCAGGGACCAGGAGGGCCCCTGGGGCGGTGCCACTGAACCTGGAGCTGGGTGGGCTAGCTCCAGGTGAGGGGCTGTACCAATGTCGCGGGACACACACAGGGTGGGGGAGTGGGTGTACGTGTGGGTGCACACGCACATGTGTGTGCACACGCACACGTGCTTCCTCTCTGCTGCTGGCATCCCCGAGCGCTACCTGTTCCAGCACGGCCGTGCCCGCCGGCAGCAGGATGATCATGCTCAGTGCGTTGTCCGCGTAGGGCAGCTCCAGCACCTGCATCTGCGGCTCCCGGACGAAGGCCAGCTTGAACGTCCCAGCCTGATACATCATGTCCACGGGGACGCTCTTGCCCTACGGTTTTAGAGACTGTAGTTAGATAGTAGTCACAGATGTGTGGGCACGTGCCCGCACGCGCATGTGTGCTGACTTCCTTGCATAACATAAATATCTGCATTGACAGTCTAAACTCATGGGTAAATCTCGAACTGCAAACTATACCCGTATAACTTTCCTCCGCAAAGGCGATGAGATTCCATTTCAAAATAAGTCCTGGTTAGAGCCTCAATAGTTCAAACAATAATGATAGCAATAAAAAAAACAATAATTTATATGCCTCCCAAAACAAAACCAGGGCTTCCCAATGAGTTCTATGAAAAAAAATGGTATCATAGGATCATTTTTTTAATTCACTTAGAGACTTTTTAAGAGAAAAATAATGTACAGTTGTGGTGTGCCATCAGAGCAAATAACCACAGTGCCTACTGAAAGAACACTCAGGGAGGAGAACAGTCCAAAAAAAATCAGTCTTTCTTGTCTTGCAGGGCACCCCAGAGCCAAAGGCTCCACTCAGCGGCCCTGTGACAAAGGTTACTGTCGCTTCATAAGGAGAAAAATGCATAGAATACACAGGTAAAGGAACCTAGGGAAATCAAGACCAGTATTTTCACTAAAACCGTCTAATTGTTTTTAACCAGTGATGGAAGTCTCCAAGACTGATCATCAACTGGAAAATGAGACACATACCTCACTTAGGTGGAAGGGGGCTTTCACCGTCTCCCGCTCCTGAAATTTACTTTGCCATTGTCCTTTGAAATAGATGGCATTCACCAAGACCATCACAGAGGAAGGGTCGATCGTGCCCTTTCCAAAGAGGTTTGTAATTTTCCCTTGTAATAAAAAAGAATAGATAATGTATTTGGATTTGAACTTATTAATGATATACAATTAGTCACAATAGCTAGCATGAAGCACTCTCTCTGTCTCTCTATATATACACAAATAATTGATACATAAGTATATAAATGAATTACTAAATAAAAATAACACTCTAAATAAGTACACAGTATGTGGATCTCTGATGCATGCCCACGGCAGACAACACTAATCAATCTGTTCATTGAAGCTAAATATTTTTAAGAGATTTCTATGTGCCAGGCACTGTCTTAGGCACTAGGACACTAAACCGAGCCCAGAACACTAAACTAAAGAGACAAGAATCCCTACCACTGTGGACTTTTCACCCTAGTGAGTCCACTGTGCGCTTCCCTAGGTCACCTTAGTGTAAGCCTCAGACTCTGTCTCAACACAGAGTTAGTTCCCAGGCAGCCCCCGGCAGTGGTCGGGTTGGCCTGTGGGGTAGAACACATTTCCCCCTACTGTTCTGAGTAAATTAACCGATCTAAAAATGTATAGAACTGTCCATGCATTTTCTAACAGCACAAAGAATTGAATGGATACATATTTTAACCGGATCGCCTATTACGAAGTTCAAATAACATCCATCGATTGACAAGATACTTTTGGGAGCTCACTACTGTTAAGTGATATAACAGATACAAGTATGTTAGAAATACGGTGTTTATCTCAGAGAAGTAATTATCTTCTACTAGTAATTTATGTTACTAACTCATTCTTCAAAATGCAATTAGCTCTAGTGCTTTGCTTTTATTTCATTCTAATTTTAATTTGTTAATTAGTAAAGTTAATTCTCTCCCATATCAGGAAATATCATTAGCTATGTTCTGGGACTTCAGAAACTAATGGTACAATGCATCAGTGGCAAACTCACAGAGAGAGATTATTTCAACGTGGTAATTTGACTGTACGTGTTTAATGGGATATGCCCTAAGGACAAAAAGAACCACAAAAATATCTTCGGCTACTGTGGTCGATTGTTTCATTAGTTAGTGTTGCTATGTGTTTGAGACTGTGTGTATTGTTGGTTGAGGTCACTGTGCAATTAATTTTGGTGGCATTGAAAACTAGAATTGTTGACATGCGATAAAAGAGAAATAGATGTAAAATGGAGGAGCATATTAAGCAAAAATCCTCTGAATCTGAATTTGAATTGGTGATATTAGTAAGAAATTAAAATTTCTAAATATATTTCATCTAAATATATGTCATTCCTAGATATAGTCATTGAAAAAACCTAAACATGATGATCAAACCAGTAGCAATGAGCACTCTTTTATCCAGATTATGGTCTCTAAAGATCATTTTGCTTTCAAAGGATCCAGGGTTCCTTGGAGAAGCAGGTAAGTCTAGGTCAGGGACAGGAAGTGGCCAGGATGAGCCTGGAATATCTGGTCAATTCAGAAAGCAAGGATGCTACCATATTCTAGAGGGGCCACATCAAAAGGACTCAGGAGCCACAAGAAGATGTATCCCCTGGCTAAAGGGAACAATTTGACCTTTGATAGCCTGAAATACCTCAGCCATGTTTAAATGTATGGATTCGTGACAATACTTTAAAAAGAAAACTCATTGGCTATATTGGAGGATACTAGGAAAAAAAACATTATTTTAAAAACTTGTGTTGAAGAAAAAGAATCCAGCATCCTTTCTTGTTTCATTTTGTTTTTCTCACATGAACTGTACTTAGGGTAACCGAATATTTTATGAGAAGTTTCTCACAGAGAAATGTTCCAGCTTATAATAAGGAAGGAGTGCTAGAATTGGCATATGGCAACTTTAGAACCCCTAGTGAAATAATGCACCTAAGCAGTAAGCATCAATTCCAATTCGAGGAAGTTTTAAAAGAGGCAGAGCTAATACATAGCAATAGAAGTCAGAGAAGTGTTAAGATCTGGGAATGGGTTCATTTCTGGGAGAAGGCAAGAGGGTGACCGTGGCGTGCCCTTCCCAGTGACAAATGTTTCATTGTCCTGACCTGGCTGGTGTCACAGCAGGGTATTCATCTTTGGGATAATTCACTGGACAGCAGACATGTATAGACCTTTCTAAATGTACATATATGTCAATCAAAAAATACATTCTCAAGTTTATTTTTAAAATCAAGCTTGAAGGAACATATCCATCAGTTGCAATGTAGAAACATATTTTGGGTCTGGTTCAAACAAAGAAAGAGTCAATTGGGGGAATACAAAAACTCTCAAAATATTTCTTAATATTAAATGATTTTTTAATTTTCTGAGTGTACTAATGGTGCAGTGGTCATAATTTTAAAAAGCTTATATTTTTGAGAGGCACAATCTAAAACATATAGAGGAAAATAGACATGCTGCCAGGAATGAGCCTCAGAATAATCTGAAAGGGGTGGTGGGAAAAGGGCATGGGTTTAGTAAATAGTATTGGCCTTAAGTAATAAATGAGACGGATGTGTAAATAAGAATTCATTGTATTATTCTCTGTTTTAAAAATTTTTTTCTTAACTAGATTTTTAAAAAAGAAATGAACATATCTTTGGTATGAATATTTAATGCTCCATTTAAAAATGTTTAACAATATATAGGGTTTGTTTTTAAACTGAGGAAGGTAGACTTAAATTGAATTCAATGTTAGACTATAGGACAACACCTCTGTAACATAGATCTGGTGTTCTCTTTCTCAGAGTCACTTGGCTAGATCATTTAGGACAGGTGGTTATATGGGACATTCCACATTTCCCACTTCCTCCATTGTTAATCTGTGTGCCAACTTCCAGACTTCACCCTGCTTCCTCATTAGTGCTGACTCGGGGAGTTCAACAAGACGGCACGAGTCAAGTTTGGAGATACGTAGGTGACTTAGCCTTACCATTAGTTTTACTTTCAACCCAAGCATTAATAGTTTGCCTCGTTTCTTCCGGGGACTGTTGAAAATCAACTGCTTGCAGCCTGGCTTGATAGAACTTCTCAGAACAGTTTAAATATTGCTGTAAAAGAAAAGACGACTGCATAACGACACAAAAATCATGTAAGGAAAACAGACACACCCAGCTCGGTGTAGTCTAAAACCATAGCCGACAAAGGCAACTCATGCATGCACTGAAAGGAAGCAGAATCCATGCAAAGACATGCAGTCAAGTCAAAGAACTTTCCCAAAGGCGTGTTCAGAAGTGTTCAGTTGCTACTTCTGTCATACCGTGGGCGTTCTTAGTTTTAAAGTGTTCCCAGCAAAATGACCACCTGCAGTACAGCGCCTGCCTTCTCACTCTGCCCCTCCTTTTTCCTCTTCAAAGGACACAAACAAATGGGAGTTCCCGCTTCAAGGTTCCGGAGAGGAAAATTGAGGACAAGAGTGATTAAATGGCTTCCTTGGCTGAGGTCTAACAGAAGGTTAGGTCTCCACCCGGTATATTTCTGCCTCCTACAAGCCACTACAGATAAAACTAATAATAATGCTCTCTGCCCTGGCTGGTGTGGCTCAGTTGGTTGGAGCATCATCCCATAAACTGAAAGGTCATGGATTTGATTCCTAGTCAGGGCACATGCCTAGGTTGTGGGTTCACCCTCAGTTGGGGTGCTTACAAGAGGTAACCAATCAATGTTTCTCTCACATTGATGTTTCTCTCCCTTTCTCTCCCTCTCTTCCCCTCTCTTTAAAATCAATAAGCATGTCCTCAGGTGAGGATAAAGTGATGATGATGATGATGATGATGATGATGATGATATTCTCTGATGTAGACACTGATATTTTTTCAACTTTATGTAAAATGTGAACAAAAAATATCTTAAGGTAGTTTTTTTACATACATTATCCAACAAAAAGCAATTACAACTTTAGTGTAAAGCTCCTAGCCCTCTCTTTTAACCAAATCCCCACTCCCAGACTGGTCCCCATGTAGCATTCTGGAGCCACTACTCATCACCACCCATGGCCCTTCGCTCTTAGACCTGGGGATGGTCCGTTGCCAAATCTACATGGACCCAAATGGACCTGCTCGCAATTCCATTCTTGAGACCTTGGGGACAGGCCTCTCTGGTCCAGCAGGACCCAATACCCCCCATGAATACAGAGAACATTCTGATGGCTGCAGATAAGAGGCAGGTGGGGGAGAATGGGTGAAGAGGTGAGGGGATTAAGAAGTACAAATAAGGGAAGGGGAAGGGTTTGCAGGAGCAAGTATATAGGACACATGGACAATAACAAGGGGGTGGAAATGGGAGGGAGGGGGGTGGGCTGGGATGGAGGTAAAAGGCAGAAAACTGTACTTGAACAATGATTAAAATAAAAAAATTTAAAAAAACTTTTTTAAGTACAAATAGGTAGTTACAGAACAGCCATGAGGATGTAAAGTACAGTATGGGAAATGGAGCAGCCAGAGAACTTACATGCACGACCCATGGACATGAACATTGGTGGGGGGATTGCCTGAGGAAGTGGGGGTACTGGGGGGAGGAGGGCAAAGGAGGAAAAATCAGGACAACTCTAATAGCATAATCAAGAAAATATAATTTAAAAAAAAATCTTGTCACGTGCAAGACACCTCCGGGCTAAAGAAGAACATTAGGAATTCAAGGCTGCTTCCCCCGGCTGGCATTCAGACAACGCTGGTCACACAAAAGTTATGTCACTGAGGCTGGCATTTCCCTTCAATCATAGCAAAACGATGTAGCAACGGAAACCAGGAAAATGAATTTAGACAGGGATCAAATTCTGGCTTTGCCACTTAATTATCACTGTGACCTTTGTCAAACTGACTTTTCAGGATCTACCTGTGGAATAACAACAACGTTGTACCTCTATCCTAAGACCAAGTAAGCATTATATAAGCTAATGTGTATAATGTATGCATACTGTGATTGACAGAAACATAGTGAGCACTCAATAAAACGATATTTCAGTGCAGTTAGGAAATGGCATAAATAGTGTTAGAATTTTGTAGTTAGTGAAAACTTGATCTAATCCTCTCGTTTTAAAGACCGACGTGGCTTGCCCCAAGTCGTATGTCCAAATGAGAACAGAACTCAGACCTCTCGGTGCCAAGGCCAGAATCCTTTCCGCTAATGCTCAGTGCTCTGCCATTTAGGACCTTTTTGAAGAAGAGACGAGAAACAGCTTTAGTTTTTCTTCTGATCCGTAAGAGATTGTTCTTACTGGGTTTGTTTTGTGCCTCATCTTTGACCTTGGTTCTTGGACAACTTCGGCGATTTCGCGGAAGTAAAATTTTTATGTGATATTTCACAACTTTAAATGGGGGTTTGGGGAAACCATTCCCCTGAAACTCTAACTCGGCGCAAGTTTAAGCTGTTAGAGATAAATGTCATGTAACTCTTCACAGGCTTGAATACCGTATGGTGTGAAATGCAGAGGATGCCGAGAACACTGTTAACCGCCACTCCAGGTGGGCTTACCTGCTGGAATGCTATCGCCTGCGTCCCGTAGAGTCTGTTGGCAATGCTGAGCGTATAGTTGGAGCCTGGCTGGTTGATTTGAGAGAATAAGACTCTAAACTCCGAGTGAATCCTTCCAGCTTGGCCGCACTAAAGCACAGGAAACAAAGGATCAAGCATTAAGTTGCTTGAGTTCTTGCCATTGGAGAGTTATAAATAACGCGAACACAATAAGGAGTTGAAGGGTTGAAAGCATTTTCCTTCTTTAATTTCCTCCAGCACAATGATCTCCGCACCCTGTGACTCTGGTTACAGGTTGTGAGCAGTGCTGGGAGCTATTGCAACACACACAGGCCCTTGTCAGCCCCGATGTTCTCCTTCAAAAGGAGAGGTTATCATAAATAAGGAGATCTTAATCTCAGGGTAACAATCCAAGCATTTTTTCGTTTGTTTGCTTTGTTTTGTTTTGCTGCCTCTGTACCTATGGAACCATTTTTCTTCTCTGTCACACTCCGTTCGATGTCTCTGTTTTCTGCAACCACGTAATCAAACTCCAGCTGTTCACTGAACTGGCCTTCCACACCCATCTGTCCGTCACAGGAGCAATCTGGCTAAGCGTGAAGCTTTGATGCATCCGAATGCATGGACATTAGAGGGGTTATGCCCATATTCCCTAAAGCAAAGATCCCCACACTATCGCCTTTAACCTCCTAACAATAAATTGAGCTCTGTGAATCTACACACACTTGGGTGTTCTGCATAGATCTCATGGCAGAAGGAATCCTCCTACCAGAGGGAACTGCAAACGGGTGGGCTGGGCAGCATCGAGCCCTGTTTCCTGGTGTCTGATTATGTGGCAAAGCCTCAGTGTCCATTCCCAGTGCCCTCACTGATCTGAAAGGTGCAACACCGCACTGATGAGGCTGGCAGGCTCAACACAGCACAGTTTGTAAAAGAACAGAAAGGTTTGCCTAAGGAAAACAATGAATCACGTGGTAAAATCTGGGGCCTTTATTACTGTCGTCAGGAACTCTACAGGCTGTAGCAATTATCAGGGACATTGTGAGCCCTCTTAAGGGACAAGGAGGAGCTCTGATCCTTAACCCTTGCACCATTATTTCTTGGTGCTCGTACATTCAAGAACCTTTGACAGCTCAGCAGTAATGTTTTCATACCTTAGCTGAGTCCTTAAACTGGGGCTTTAATGATTCTGCAATGTGATTAAAGTGAAGCACCTAGAAACAGAAAGAAGAATCAACTGGCATCAAAAGCAACACACCGTCTACAGAGGTTCTCAGTTCAAGACCCTGTTTTTTCATTTCAGATAGGGACCTATGTCATAGCTAGCGTTTAATGATGCTGTATTCCAAGTCCTGAACTAAGCCTTTACACATCCTACTTAACCCTCCCAACAACTTTATGAGTTGATACGATTATCGCCATCTCCTGTTAGGGTAATTGAGTCAAAGGGAGATTAAGCAACGTGCCCCGGACCACTGTCCGTGAGGGCCCAGGGGTGGAGCTGCCACACACCAGACTCTTCTGCCCTCTCTGACCTTTCTCAGACCACACTACTCCCTGTGACAGAACTCTCCCAGGGCCGTGTGAAACATTACATGGCTTCCCAGCATAGCACCTACTTTAAATGCAAAAAAACATGGATGTGCATCAAAATATGGAATAAAGCAGTAAAGGACAAACAGTAATAGGATGTGCAGGTATCCTGGGAGTTGGTAAGTGATATTCTTCTAGGGTTTCCACACCAATAAAATATGTATAGCATGAAAAAATCACTGACCAGCCTATGGACCCCGAAAAGTCACCCTTCCTCTCTCTTAGTCCCGGTTTCCTTCGCTGTGAAATAGGGAGGACAGTAACTACTTATGACACAAAATGGTTATGACGTCCGAAAACCTAATAAATATTTTTTAAAGCTTGATAATGTTGAAAGTGTAACTAAATTTTATTATACATTAAACTTCTAGAGAGCAGGAATAGCGCCATACATGCGCTCTCTGTCGTGTTTAAATAAACCATCGAAAGGATGAACTCGGAAAGTAATCATGGAAACGTGTGGGTAAAAAAACCCAATGGTAAGGAGAAGACTGGGTATTGCATGTATTGTGTTATTTTCATTAAAATATATTGCATTCCTGAAGCCACTATCTACTGTTAAGAAATGTGATTTGCCCAAGTGTTTTTTTCTTTCACAAGATGGCAGTTTTCTCGGTGTAAAGATGCAGTTCGACCCATAGGGGGCGTCGGTGAGACTTCCAGGCCCCGGGACTTCCCTGGGCATCCCATACCTTTTCCATCTGTTCAGCACTGTGTCCTCTGGCTCCAAGTAGGACCATACTTAGAGCGTAAAGCAAACTCAGTGGGGAAAAGAAGATGTTGTCTCCCGCGTTGTTATTATTCAGCTCTTTGAACATATCAAGGCAAAATGCAACATTTGCTGTGCTGAGGGAATCCATTTTATGCCCAGTACTACCTGAGAACAGAAGGGAAAACATCTTAGCATATCCCATGGAGGTACAGATAATACACAAACTCAGCTATTACATTTCATGAATTAAAGTTGCTGGAGCACACTACTTTTTAATATTTTTACGATATTAAGTGAAGGGTGGAGGTGGGCAAAGCGGGGAGATCAGGGGGACCCCTGTTGTAGTGTCGACAATAAAAATAAAGTTTAAAAAAAAAGTATTAGTAAATGCCCAAGAGAGGAATTCACAGTAGTTTCAGATTCTAATGAATAAAAGATTTCCTATTCCTTTCAGCCGATACTTCAAAGCCAGCGTTTGTGTACATTTAAAAGCAATCCACTATTGTTCTGGAGCAAAAGAGCAGAAGGAATTAAATCTCTGTGCTCTGAATTTCATGTTTTATGACACTCCTCATCCTGGAATCCGTACCGAAAAATTCTTGAGCTACAAAGGCTCCGCCCAGGACACACTTTCCCACTGGAATGCCCACCTTCACAAGGAAAGGACACTTCCATCCCGGTCACTCATGAGCAAACGAGGTGAGAATCCATAAAGCCAGCCCGGGCAACCTTCTCCGCTCGTGTCCTCACCCTCCGTGGAAGCAAGGCAGGACTAGTGCATGGGCCAGGGGAAGGGGCCCACGCCCTCCACCCTGGGCCACCGCCATGACATCAGTGACAACGGAGGACCAGAAGAAGAGACTGAGACAGAAAACCACGGTGCTGGAATATGTGTTACCTAAGGACGATGGCTTGTCAGGAAGGAAGAGTTGGTTTTATTCCCCCCCACAAACACTAACTGCGCACCCCTAACGGCAGGGGGCTGTACAGACTCGAGAATGCATTTTTGCCCTCAGGGGTTGTCAATCATTCTCCAGAAGCCTTTGTCGCAATCAAACACTTCCCTCTCCTAACTTCCAGGTCATCATTCTTTCCTGGTTCACCACCTGCCTCATCGGGCCACTCTGTCTCAGTGTCCTATGGAGGATCTTAAATCTCGGGCCTCTTCTCTGTTTACACTCAGACAGATGATCTCATTCAACTTCCAGCTTTAAGGCTCACAGGTTGGCTGGTAGCTCACTGATTGGCTAGCTTTAAGGCTCACTGATTGGCTGGTAGCTCCCAAGTTTACATTGCCCCTGAATCACAGATTCACAGATGTCACTGCCTACGCAACATCTCTGCTTGAGTGCCTAATATAAGGTCAGATTTAACAAGGCCAAAAGCAGATCCTTGACTTCGGACCCTCTGCAGCCTGTAGCCCTAGCAGTCGCCTTGATCTCTGTAAATGACAGCACCACTCACCCCTGTGCTTGGCCCAAAAACCGTGGGGTCAACCTTAAATGCTTTCTCATTCACATCCCATTCCATCCAGCAAAAAGTCCTCTTTTCTCTGTCTTCAGAAACACCCGCCATCTACCCATTTCCCCCTCTCCATTCACACTCCAGTCAAAGCTCTCAGCATCCCTCTTGTGAATTATTGGAATGGCCTCTCACTCCTTTCCTGATTTGGAAAGCAGGAAAGTCCTTCCCCTCCTCCATTGTTTTTTCTAGAAAAGACAGAGTGATATTTTTAAATATCAGTTAGTGATGCGCTAACCGAAGAACTGCTTACGGCCTCTGCTCAAAATTCTAGTGGCTTGCCTTTGTCTCGGAGCAGAAGCCAGACTCCTCTCTGAGACCGAGGTCCTCCGTGATCTGGCCCCACAGCCTCTCGGCCTCATCTCCCCCTAGTCTCCCCCCAGTTCCCACTGTCCTAGCCGTGTCACCTCCCCGTATTTCTTCAACTTGCCATGCAGATTCCGCCTCGGAGCCTCTGCGTGTCCTCTCTCCCCCCTGGAATGCTCTTCCCAGAGATATCCATCCACATGACTCGCCCTGGCGGTTCGCTGACCTGTCTTCTCAATCAACATCCCATCAATACAGACTTCACTGACTACCTCTCTCCAGTCGTACTTCATTCCATTACCCTACTTATATATGTATATTACATATATACACACACGTTTTATATAAATATAAATGGCTTTGTATTTACTTATTTGCCCTATGCATTGTATATACATATTTACTCATTTATTTCCCTTATACATTATAGGCATGTATTTATGTAAATATAAATAAGCTATATATATTATAGTGTATGCTATATGCTGGACATATTTTTATTGTCTGATTCCCCCCTCCCTCCAGAGTACAACCGCCATTAAAGCAAGGATTTGGTTTGTATGCTTTGTTTCAGCGTCTAGACCAGCCCTGGCTTGCCCCTCACTGAGCGCCTGCAGAAGGAACAAATGAAGGAGGAAATTTCAATCCAACTGGTACCAGGATACGCAGGTATCGTAAGGTGCCAGCAAAGCCACACTAGATTAAAGAACACGCCGCCCCTCGTTCGGCTCATTTCACCCCCGTCCAGATGCCCCGCTCTCCTCCGGGCCCCTCTGACAACAACCTCAGCTGAAGCCGCAGAGCAAACAGACACTTCCCTTTACCTTGGTTGCTGTCTGCTGGTGGAGTGGACAGTGTGGGAGGCAAGCCTGGAGCTGCGTCCCGGGACAGGAAATATAAAGCCTTTCCCTTCGGCCCCTCCCTTTCCATTTGTGGCCTTAGTGATTCAGCGCTGCACCTGCTGGGCGGTGAGTTCAGCCCAGAGAGCAGGTCTCTCTGAATGTCCCCAGCGCTGCTTTGAGTCCCTCAGACTCTCAGAATGGCCAGTACGTTCTGGGGAAGCGCCCAGTTCTTAAACGGTTTTTTTTTTTTGCTCTGCTAAAGGAGAAATACTGACAAGCCTAACCTCTATTCCAGACAATACTCAATTTTTCTAAAAAGAATAACAGTGTTCGAGCTGGCAGGGCCATATGCCAACTTTCAGGGACTGCATGTGTCCGAGCGCCCAGCCCAGAGCTACCCGATAGGGAAGGGTCCGGTCATGACGGACACTTCCCAGCCTGAGGCACGTTCGCCCCAAGGGCTTCTGAGCTCTCCTGCGTGGAGCACATGTCTTCATGTGCAGCCTCAGCAATCTGCTGGCAGGTAATTCCTGCCCTATAAAAAGAGCAGAAGAATGAGCTCCAGCAGGAGTGATTCTGTGGTTTCAGTTTAAAAGCGTGGTGGAAGCAGCAAGCCCCCGCTACCTCCCTGCAGGGAGTTCAGAGGTATGATTCAGGACTGGGTAAATAAGATTAGAGACCAGGCGCCGGGATGAAAGCTGGAGAGGACAAACGTTTGGGGTGTGCAGTGGCCAGAACCGGCACCGTGGGATAAGCCTTGCTTCCCCGCGACCACTCCTGCCCACGTTACGCCCAGCCCAGACTCCTGGGTTGATCCCACTGCCCCCGTGGGAGCTACGACAGCTGACTGCTCTTAGGGTATCACTGAGTCCTTTATGCAGTGATTTTTCTCTTCATCTTGAGTGTGCCTCGGGTCCTCCCTTACACAAATGAAGCCATTCCACAAGACACAGAAAGGAGCTAGACAAGTCAGGTTCCAAATGACAGCCCTAAGAGCCACACTGCCCATAAGGCTCTCATCAAAACAGTTGCATGCAACCAACCACACAACTGAAAGGAGTCCCGAATCCGTCCAGTCTTTCTCTGCTCAGAGCAAGGGTTCTCTGACGTGGGCCAGTCCCAGCGGGCCATTTCCAGGGCCCCGAGGCCTCAGATCCCCGCCGAGGGCCAGTCCTCGCCTCTTCATCTTGTTTCCATCTCCCTTGAGATCCAATCAGAAGGGGACTGGTTTCCTTAGCTTTCTCGCCGTCTAAGAATTGGGCTGCTCAAAGGAAGTCTTTTTCATCCTTGGCCTAGAGGGCACCCCTGTTCCTTTCCCTGTCAGAAGGGGAGCTCTTGGGCCCGTTTGATTTTTCTCTCCAGGTAGATGACATCCATTGGATAATCCTGTTTGCCTCTCTTTAATCTCTCTCGTTCGCCCACCCTTACCGCCACCCAGCCCCGGCCTGGTGTTTTAGCCTTACACAAAGTCTTGCATGCAGGTAATCTGTTTGGGAAATGGTCTCAGGAAATAGAAGTAGAAGAAGAGGAGGCGTAGAACGGGGAAGCAGGGAAAGCTACTGGGCAATGATGGTTATAAGTTGTCCCCTGGTACATGATCCCGCAGACTTTGGAAGAGCCTTAGAAAATGTGTCTTAGAACCGTCCTCCCAGAGGAAACCTTTGCTAGTTGGCTGTCATCCCACTGGGCAAGGGCGACCCCACAGGCATTAACTCGGGCTGCTCCTGAGTGCATGTCAGGTGTGTGCAACCAACACCAAGGCATCAGAAAAGCTCTGGAGCTGGAAGCAAGATGCGAGGGTAGGTACTGGCAAGTTGGAGTGCACAAATGATCTCGAGCTTGCACAGACCTGGTGGCCTTGTTAGCAGCCAGATTAGGAGGTGGGGGTGACGGAATCTGACGTGGCTCAGAAGAGGTGGCCAACACGTCTCATCCATGCCAGGGCCTACTGCTGGGCCTGGGGGAGGGGCTGCCCTCCAGTGTCCTGAGGTGGGTGCGAGCTGTGCACAGGAAGCACCCATTCTGGTCTATTCCTCTGCCCTGGGTTCTCCCGGGCAGCACCCCCACTGACAGCCCAGTAACCCCTGCGGCTAGGGCAGATATCTGTCTAACTCTGAGAGCCAGAACGAGAACGCCCACTGTTGGCTCACACCTAATCCCGTCGTTCAACCTGTCTTCGTCCACCATAAATATTTCGTTCTTCGTCAGCCCGAATGCATCAAATTTCTCTCAATTTTTTTCAGGATTCAGGTGAAGTAAGAAGTGCTCTTGCCTTGGCCAGCTGGCTCAGGTGGTCGCAGCAGCATCCCATACACCAAAAGTTTGTGAGTTCAATCCCCAGTCAGGTTACATACCTGGGTTGCGGGTTCCGTCCCGAGTCAAGATACGTGCAGGGGCAGACAACTGATGTTTCTCTCTCAAATGGATGTTTCTCTCTGTCTCTCTCTGTCTCTCTGTCTCTCTGTCTCTCTCTCTCTCCTCGAGCCCCCTTCTTCTCTCTCTAAAACCAATAAACATGTCCTTGGTGAAGATTTTTTTAAGTGCTTTACTGGGCCTCACAGCCTAGGACGGTGAGCATGGGCTGGAGAGGGGAGTACAGGCTGGGTTTCTGCCCCCAGCCACTGCCTCTGCTCGGTCAGGGCATGCGCAGCACCACCCGGACCTGAGGCCTTCATCAGGAGCGAAGGGAAGAGAAAGAGCCTGCGGGTCACTCACAGAACCACAAGGACGCCGGTGATCACGGCAGGGACTGAGCATTTCTGAGACCCCAGGCTACACTAACATGTTACATTAACACACCATTTAAGTGAGCTTGTGCCACAAGGCAATACTAAAGAAAGCAAAGTTGAAGAGTTATCTTATCAGTGACTTTAGGAGAAAACAATGGGTGATATGTATGTACAACCTTTTCCCCTCCTGGCTTTCCCAGAGGAAGGATGTCATGAGAACAGCTGAGTCAAGACCACCTTTGTGGTTTCCATGGAAATAGTGGGGGTGGGTACACAATGGACGAACAGAAGATTCACTGTGGAACTGAGAACCTCTGATGGGAAGGAGGAAAACAGAACTGGATTAAGGGGAGCCTGTTTAGACTGAGGCAGCTGCTCTTGGGAGCTGGAACGGGAGTTGGGGTGAAGGGTACTCACATAGAGCACCCACTCCTTGTGGGAGACAGGGACAGAGGGTGCTGACTCTCCGGAGTGCTCATGGGCCTTGTGCGTGTCAGCCCCTCTGCGGGGTGGCCGAATTTAGCAAGTGAAAATACAGGCTGCCCGGTTAAAGTTGAATTTCTGATAAACAATGAGTAATGTTATATATATCCCAGATATTGCAAGGGGTGTATTTATACTAAGTCTACAGCAGATTTATACTAAAAATAGTATTCATTGTTTATCTGAAATTGACATCGAGTTGGACGTTCTGTATTTTATCTGGAAGCCCCACTTACGTGTCATTTTCTTAAGAGAATGTGGTAAATATATATATTTATCTATTTATATGATATTTGTTTGAACTAGACACTTGTTCGAACTAGATACAGAATTAAGTGCACCAGGCAGCCTGATGAGAAGCTGGGCGCTGAGTTCCCGCAGTGAGGGGAAGAATAACATGGACGCCGAGTGGCTGTCATCAGAGAAAAGGGAGAGGACAGCGGATGGGGAAGCTACTCAGAGGGCTGGAGGGGGTGAACCCCCAGTGCAGGAGGAGGAACCAACTCTGCTCACGTGGCGGACAGCCCTTCCCACACACAAGAGCAGGGAAGGATGGGTAGATACTTAAATAAATTCACACAAATAATGGTTAAAAGTTTGGACTATGTGGCTCAGTGGATTGAGTGCTGGCCTGCGAACCAAAGGGTCACCAGTTCAATTCCCAGTCAGGGCACATGCCTGGGTTGCAGGCCAGGTCCTCAGTAGGGGGGTGCGGGAGAGGCAGGTACACATCAATGTTTCCCTCTCTTTCTCCCTCCCTGCCCTCTCTAAAAATAAATAAATAAAATCTTTAAAAAAAGTTTTGTCTAGCTTGTTAATTCCTCATGGGCAGAGGCTGTGTTTTTCACCAAATGCCTGACGTTTAGTTGGCACTCAGTCACCACCTATTAAACTGAACGGGCCATCTTTTCACCGAGTGGAGGGGGAATGGGCGCACTGCAGGCTGGGACGAGGCAAGACGCGAAGGCTGGGAATGGCCCGCTGGGGAAGCTGGAGAGCAGCCTGGGGGAGAGCGCACCGAAGACTTCCCCGCTGCCTGCCGGTTGGGGGACCCACACGGGACCAGTCATAGGCAGTGCCAGCGCCGTTCTGACAAGTGCACTTGGCTGTGGTGTGCACCTCCCAGGCACACAAATCCTGGGAGTGTAATTCCCAAATCCTGGGAGTGTAATTCCCACCACCAACCTGCAAAAGTTTCCATTTCCTGATAGGATGTTTTCAAAAAGGTGGGACTTTTCCAAATGAATCCCCATAGCTCTTATTTTGCATCCCTGAAAGCAGTTCTTCCCAAAGAAGTCACGCCATGTGACAATCAAGTGTCTTGAAAACAACACTTAGGGAACTTTCTACTTAGTTAGCTCTTGACAGTGACCCAATTGTGAACAAAGGGAGTGTGAAGCACAGACCCAAGAAAAATAATCAACTGTCATTATTTTGCAGAAGACACAGAGAGAGTCTTTCAAGTAAAATGAGCAGTTCTCAAGACTAGAAAGATGGACACCTCAAGCCCTGGGCAGGCCTCCATACTTCAGTCCTCACACTTGAAACATTTCCTCAACTAAGTCCAGAGGACTTCGTTACCTGGGACATAAACCAGGAGAGAACTGGTCTTTTTAAAAATCCTGTTAGTCTGCTCAAAAGCCACTATTAAGAAACTAGGCAAGCCACAGTTTGGGGGAAATATTTGCAATGCCTATACCTGACAAAGAGTTTGTACGCAGAACACACAAAGAACTACAACCCAGAGCGAGGGTTAAATACGTGGGCAAAATATTTGTACAGGCACCTCACTGACGGTGATTTATAAATGGCCAAGGAGCAGCACATAACAAAGTGCTCCACATCATTAGTCACCAGAGAAATGTCAATTAAAACACAAAGACT